TGTTTATTTCTAATGGCCAATTCAGCTTTATTAGCTTCACATGTGTGTTTATTTACAAAGGGCAGGATTTTATGTGTTCCTCAGTTTGTACATGGGCTACCAGCAGCTGTCAGATTTCACTGTTCATGTTTTTATATACAATACACTAGAAACCAGTGTACTTTTCTGGGCTTTTAAGTAAAACAAAATGAGTATTGCAATAAATCATTTTTATTTTTTTCTCCTTAACCCCTTACTGTTCCTACTGTCTATAGAATAAATAGATAAACACGTGTCAAGCCATGAGAACCGAACTGAAAACCAAGAAGTGTGTATTGAACCGTGGGCTAACTGTATTGTTGCATCCCTAATATGCAGCATCCTTCATTAATCTCTCAGGTAAGGCGAGATCTTCTCTCAGGTACTCATACCCTTAGAGGGAAAATGTGCTTTATAAAGCTTGATGCATCAGATTCAGTACTCTGTATCGGTCGATCAATCGGTACTTCGTATCGGCTGCAAAAATCCTGATCAGAGCCTCCAAAATATTTACACAAGTAAGTAAATACGCTCACTGAGGGACTGTATAAATCTTCAAGCATTCCATGTGGGGCTAGTTATAATATTAATAATAATTAGGGCTGAACAGTATACTATATGAGCATCAACATCTCAATGTATGCATCCATAACAGTCACATTGCAGGATTAGTTCATTCATTCATTTTCTTTTCGGCTTAGCCCCTTTATAAATCAGGGGTCACCACAGCAGAATGAACCGCCAACTAATCCAGCACATGTTTTACGCAGCGGATGCCCTTCCTGCCGCAACCCATCACTATTAAACATTCATACCCTCTCATTTACACTCATACACTACGGACAATTTTACTTACCCAATTCACCTGTACCGCATGTCTTTGGACTTGTGAGGGAAACCGGAGCGCCCGGAGGAAACCTATGCAAACGCGGGGAGAACATGCAAACTCCACACAGAAATGCCAACTGACCCAGCAGAGGCTCGAACCAGCGACCTTCTTACTTTGAGGTGACAGCTAGTTTATTCAATAAAGATTAAAGGATAAAGACATTATTAGAAATGAATGTATACAATGGTGACCCTCGTGTTACTTTATGTTTGATTGTTCAATTTCTATAAGTAAATACTGGAGGACTCCTCAGAAAAAAAAAAGTAAAGGACTGTATATTGAAGTTTTGTTGCTTTGTCATGTTTATATATGCTTGTAATTTATTATCTTTTATGCAGATGCAGTGCATAGAAAAAAACTTGATCATCCCAGTCGATCTAAATCAATGCAGTATTTCCAAAAAGAGCTGTTCAAATCATCTGATAAGAGCTTAATTCTTATTGCAATATACTTTATATATCGCAGCAAAACAAAACATCGCAATGGCAGACTTTTCCAATATCGTGCAGCCCTAATAATAATAATAATAATAATAATAATAATATCAGCCTCCAAATGGAGAGTTATTGGTATCAACCAAAAATTCCATATCAGTGCATCCCCAACTGTTTGGCAGCAAATACAGTCAGACAGATATAAAGACGTTCAATCAGTGCTTGAATGGATGAGAAAATAAGATAAACACACAAGTGTGTTATTGTCCCACAGAGACGCATCTAACATGAGCAGCCCAGGCTTTAACCAGTTCCTCTGCTGTCTCCTGCTGTTTTTCTGACAGCATTATCACTGAGGCAGAGATAAGTTGTCTGGGGAATCGGTGTGGCGCCGCCGGTCAGACGGGGTTTGTATTGGCAGCACCGCAGCCTTCTGGGAAGCGTCTTTCTCTTCACACTCGAATCCCCTAAACCTGTGTGCTCCCTCACTAGGATCTAGGGCAGGGGTTCTCACTGGGCATGGGACGATAACCGGTTTCAAGGTTTACTGTGGTTTCCTTCACTGTCAGAAAAAAGGGTACGGTTGGGGTACATTTGTGAACACTTGGGGTACAAATGGTGAAGTTGTACCCTCAATGGTTCAAAGTAGCACCCTAAGATACTTATATGTACCATTTAAGGGTAAAAAAGGTACAAATATGTTCCCAACTGGCAAAGGGTCCATGTTTGGGCCATTTAAGGCCCAAAGAAAGGTACAATCACTTGTGTGAAAAAGGAGCAAGTCAACGTGTATGAAATGGTCCTTAATTTATGTCATGAGTTGTTGGTTATTTGAAAGAAATGCACACAAAAAAAACTGTACATTATAAATTAAATTATTTAATTATATAAAACATGGCCTTATAAATATTATAAATTAGTATTTTTGATTTAAGAAAATGTTAACATAAATCCCCCTAAATGTAAAGTGAAATGGCTAATTATACACAGACCTTTCTTTGATTATCAGATTTAATAAACTACTAGAATGGACATACAACTATAAAGTAGATGAATACAATAGGAATTAAAGGTAACCAGCTTGGTAAACAAAGACAGAGTGCAACCTTGTAGCATTAATAAATAAATTAATAAAACAATTTTAAAACGTAACAGAATAATACTGCCAAAATAATACAGCTGAGAACAAATAATAGATTTAAAAGACCAAAAACTGGCCGTTAGATATACACAAAATGTATTAAATATCGTGTTTTAACTACAAGAGGGAGATTGAATCCAGCGGCAGATGCGAGATTGACTGGCCGAAGTAAAAGGTGCTGTCGGCGGGGGAGAGAATCATAAAGCTCCCGCTGACAGAGTCCGCTTTCACTGAAGCACATTGTCAAAGAAGCGCTGTCTTTTTAAATAAACTGCCGATTCGAGTTTAAAACAACTACATTCTCGCCTGAAATACTCTTAAAACTACATTTTGTGAAACATTAGATGATATTTTTTTAAACTTGCGGGTCTGCACAGCGGGGTATTGTCCATTGACTTTCACTTAGCATTAGCAGCCAGCAAATTAGAATTCGTGTTGTCCAATAGGATTTTTGCCCGCGCCGTGCATTCATAATGCCAGCTGATTACGTGCGACGGTTAATCTCCAGCTGTTGCACTGTTGTTCTGACGCTCTTCTCGGCGTCGATGGAGGATGGACCTGAAGGACGCAAAGAAGCTGGAATACGCTCGTGAAGACGAAGCACAGACATTTGCAGGTAAGTTTAATGTTAAATAACGTATTGTAATATCCGTTGGGTCATATTCAATTCATATTTGACGTTACTTTGCCTTGTGTATGTAGTTAAGATTAACGTTACCGTCGAGTTACCTGCCGCGTGAGGGGACCCTTTTGTATTTTAAGGTTGACCAGAAATTAAAATATGATTTTTTACATAACCTGGCCATGAGACAGAGCTCGAGACACTGGCAAAACAGCGGTGAAACGTCCAAAGAAACAGTTCAAACACATTTAAGTTAGTTTTGTTTGGATAATGTGGTTAAGTCTTTATTGCATACGTTATTTATAAACTCAAAATTTCCTTAAAGTGTTGGGAAGCTAACATTCATGCTAACGTTCATGTTTATTTCGGAAAGGAGTGAAGTGAATGCCTTCATGTCTGAAACAAAATAACTTTAACGTTAGTTTATGCATATCTCGACCCACGTTCATTTATAGCAGTTGTATTTTGCAACGTTACATATTTAATTAACGTTATAAATGCATGTCCAAGAGAGTCATAATCATCTGTCGTGTCAGATCGAGGTGCGGGTCATTTATCAAACCTTTAAGTTGCTAATTTAAAGCTTTTTTTTTTTTTTTTTTGCTGTTAACCTCAAGTTCACACCGATCATAATTCTTTTTCTTTCAGAAAATGAAGTGGACGAGGAAGCAGTAGAGTGTAATAACGTAAGTATTTTGTATTTCATCTGTTTGTTAATAATATATATATATATATATATATATATATATATATATATTATGTATGTGTGTGTGTGTATACTTTTTTCCCAGGAATTCATTGTGCAGTCTTAAATTTAATCTCCCTTTTTCTATGAAACTGTTTGGTGAAGTGTTAAAGTTATATTTGAATTTTTATGATTGTCATTATTTTGCACTTATATTTGATCCAATAGGTGATTGCTGCAATTGGTGAGGATGCATCATCTTTTGAGAGTAATGCGAATGTCCTGCGTATCCAGTGAAATAAGGTGTGTGACCCTTTATTAAAAACACCCTTGTCAGTGAGATCACATTTTAAATCAGTTCTCAGTTTAAATGAAAAGTTTAATGTCAGTAATAGCCAAAGTGTAGGATCTAATGACTATTATAAATGTTATGACTATTGTAAAAATATTTTAATTTTCAAGCTTTGTGGTGAACATATGTGCATTCAAGCTTACAACTATTTGTACAATGATAACTAAAGGGAAATGGCAACAAAGAATATTAGATAATGTTTTTAGTTAAAGTGAATCACTAATTTCCTTTTTATTTATTATAGTCATGGTGAACCTGACTGAATGCATTCATCTACCATCTTCAACCAAGTCAGAGCTTCAAGGACAGCTTGTGCTAAAGGTGCCTGAGCTTGATTAAGAAAAAAAGCATCTCCACTGGCCAAAGTCTACAAAAAAGCAAGAGAATAGAAGTTTGCAGATGATCTAACAGGTATTAACATAAAACTTACGTAATAATAATTTTGCTAGATCAAACCCTTTTTTCTTGGATGTGATCATTAAGTGCCTTTTCAAGCTGCATTTAGCAAGTTCATACTCATGGGCCTTATATACAAACCCTTTATATACAGAACATTCCTTAATGTTTTTCTTTAAAAAATGTAATTCATAAAAATACATCAAAATCTTTTATTCAGCATTTGCTAAACATTCCAATAATTTTTTCTTTATTTTAAAAACAGGTCTTTTATATTATTAAATTATTTAAGAGTACTTCATTATTTGTCTTTATTTTATTTTAGGGTGTCACAGTGGCGCAGTGGGTAGCATGATCGCCTCACATCAAGAAGGTTGCTGGTTTGAGACTCGGCTGGGTCAGTTGGCATTTCTGTGTGGAGTTTGCATGTTGTCCCCATGTTGGCGTGGGTTTCCTCCGGGTGCTCCGGTTTCCTCGACAAGTCCAAAGACATGCAGTACAGATGAATTGGGTAAGCTAATTTGGCCATAGTGTGTGAATAAGTGTGTATGGGTGTTTTCCAGTGATGGGTTGCAGCTAGAAGGGCATCCACTGTGTAAAACGCATGCTGGATATGTTGGCGGTTCATTCCGCTGTGGCGATCCCAGATTAATAAAGGGACTAAGCCGAAAATAAAATAAATGGATGGATGGATGATTTTATTTTGCAATAGATTCAGACTTTCGTGCAGCTCTAATTCTGCTCCCCCATATTCTTAAAGAGGAAGATGATTGCTTACAGTAATTACACTGGGAGAGGTTTGGGTACTGTTGGTTAAACACTTTGTAATACTCTGATAGATGTTATGCAGTTCTGACAGATTTTACATTGTTTATTGATGTCCTTTACTTTTTCTTTTCACAGTGGGATGATGATGATGCTCCATACCCAACTTTACAGATGGCTGAAAGTCCGTTTTAAAGGCATTATTACATCCTTCGCTGTTCACTGTGTTTTCAACTTGGCTTATCCATTCTACATAAAGAATGCAAAGGATGAACATCAGCAACTCCCCAAGATGGAACAACAAGTTAAATTTGAACATCAGCAACGGTGTGAAGATGGAGATCCAAAATTACAAGAAAAATCAGTGCAGCTGTCCGAGAGAACTTGTATTGCTGGGTCTGCATCAAACAGCAATGCTTGGATCTTTGCATTTACTTTGGTGCATGCGTTTCGAGTCTGTGCATCAGTAATTTAAGACTAGCAGCTATAGACATTTCAATAACATTGCCCAAATCATCTGAGAAGCACAAGATGAAACAATGCTAAGAATTTTCTCCGCCCAACATCCTTGATGAGATTGACACATTCAGGTGTTCAAATTGAACTGTTATCGTGTGCATGTGAGACCGCTAATGGAGAAGAAATAACACTTTCTTAATGAAATAATGATTTTTTTCTTTCTTAATGATTCATATTTCCATGCAAATACAGTAAGAGTTTGACTTTGAATGGGGTGTTATAAACCAAGACAGACGGACTTTCAGGCTCTTGAAACATACTCTGCTGATAAACTGTTTAAGAATGTTTAGAAATTTCAAATCAAATGTGTAAAACTTTGATCAAAAGTGTTTTTGAGATCTAAAATGATTAAGGGTATACTTTAAGTGACATGTTTCAATGTACTGTATGGAAAAAGATTGCTTTGAGATTTTTGATGCTTTTAGAAAATGTAGAATGCAGTGCACTAGCAAAAATGTACTTTATTAGGTCTACTGTTGTTTTAGAAAAATTACTTTGTTACATTGGTAAAAATGCTCAGTGAAATGGGATGCACTGATGTAAAAAAAATAATATTAAGTTTTTTTGCTGTTTCATAAAATGTTTTAAAATGTTTAAGCAGCTATTTTTTAAGTTTATGCATCTGGTATGACTTTGTGATAGTGTGAACTTTCATCTTCTAAAAAGGTGACAATGTAATTGTTTTGAATCTTTCAATGTGTGTTTGTGATAAAATGTTACATTTTAATGTCTTTTAAAATGATGTAATGTTTAAACATTCATCCTGTAAAAATGTTGATATTTAATATGTTTAATAAATGTGATAAATGAAATTTATTGTGTATGGAGTACAAATCTGAAATAAAAGGGTACAAAATTCATCCCTATGGAGGAGAAATTGTACCTTTTTTAAAGGTACATTATTGTACCATAGCCCAAGTAAGGTACAAATTAGTCAGCAGAGGTACATATTTGACCCATGAAGGTACATACTGCTAGGGTACAAATATGTACCCATGTGAAAGGGTACAACAGGTGTACCCTTGAGGGTACTGCCCCAGTGACAAGCCATTGTACCCCAAAAGGTACAAATTTTGCACATTTTTTCTGACAGTGTTGGATAAAAATTTTTAAAGTTATTTTGAATGTCTGGGTAAAAAAAACAACTTTTTTCTCCATTTAAACACAATATATTTCAATTTAAGAAACATTTATAATATTTTGGAACATGTCAGGCTGCATAATTCAGTTAAATCATTGACTTCTGTCTTCATTAGTTTCAGGCAGACAGATTTCTTTACTGCCTAAAATGTAATCTTTGGAGATCTTTCTTTTCTGTGGATCTAAAGTAAAGCCACTGCACTGTTGCAAATGAAATAGTTGAAGAAACACTTTTAAAAAAACAAACGTATACCGGAGGAAGGCATCACGGTGGCGCAGCGGGTAGCATGATCACCTCACTGCATTTAGGTCACTGGTTTGAGCCTCCGCTGGCTCAGTTGGCATTTCTGTGTGGAGTCTGCATGTTCTCTCCATGTTGGTGGGGGTTTCTTCCGGGCGCTCCAGTTTCCCCAAAAAGTCCAGAGACATGCGGTACAGGTGAATTGGGTAGGCTAAAAATTGTCTGTAGTGTATGTGTGGGAATGAGTGTGTGGGTGTTTCCCAGGGATGGGTTGCTGCTGGAAGGGCATCCGCTGTGTGAAATGTGCTAGATAAGTTGGTAGTTCATTCCGCTGATGTTGCGATCCCTGATTAATAAAGGGACTAAGCCGAAAAGAAAATGAATGAATATAATTTATATCTGTATTGTATGCCACCTTTCTCCAAAACTTTCACATTGCAGAAAAAAGAACTACAGCGCAAGAAATGCTTTTCTTACTTAAGAGTTTTTTGTATTGTTTCAAGTGCAAATATCTAAAAACTCTTTAAACAAGAAGCATATTTTAGACAAGTGCAACATATCGTCTTGTTTTTAAAAATAATGTAAAAGTGATTTATTTCTTTAAGCAAGCAAATTAGTCTGCCAGTGGGGTTAGCAAAGTAGTTTTGTTTTTCATTGTGACATAAGATTATTGCAGTACATGCATTCATTCATTCATTAATTCATTTATTCATTCATTCATTTTCTTTTCAGCCTAGTCCCTTTATTAATCTGGGGTCGCCACAGCGGAATTACCCGTTAACTTATCCAGCATATGTTTTACGCAATGGATGCCCTTCCAGCCGCAACCCATCTCTGGGAAACACCCATACACACTCACTTGCACACATACATATACTATGGACAATTTAGCCTACCCAATTAACCTGTACCACATGTGTTTGGACTGGGGGGGAAACCGGAGAACCCGGAGGAAACCCACACGAACACAGGGAGAACATGCAAACTCCACACAGAAACATCAACTGATCCAGCCAAAGGCTCAAACCAGCAACCTTCTTGCTGTGAGGCGACAGCACTACCTACTGCGCCACCACATCACCCATTCATTATTTTAGACTGATTGAAATCATTTTGTAGAGGAGGGCATCTGCATAAAATAAAATAAATAATTAGAAATGTTGATGAATACAGTAGAGCAGACTGAAAAAAATGCTGTTCTTTGAGTAAATTCTTAAATCAAAAACTGCTCAAAGTCACCCGTTCTCTGTCTGTCCGTTTCCATTTCCTTCTCTTACTTTTCTTCCCTATCCCATTTTTCCTGCACTAAAATAACACATGCTGTCATCCTGAAACATCCTGAAGGATTTGTCTGTCAGATCCGAAAGTGTGGCCTGCTAAAGATGTACTGTTGAAGTATTGTCCCAGATGTTTTTTTTATAAAACTTTTTTTTTGCATTTATATGTTCTCGTACATTATTAATAATTATCACTCCAAAATGATCAATTTCATTCATTCATTCATTCATTCATTCATTCATTTTCTTTTTTGGCTTAGTCCCTTTGATGATATGGGGTCGCCACAGCGGAATGAACTGCCAACTTTTCAAGTATATGTTATATACAGCAGATGCCCTTCCACCTGCAACCCATGGCTGGGAAACACCCATACACTTCCATCCACATTCATCCACTACGGACAATTTAGTTTAACCAATACAGAGAAATTGAATTCTATTTAAAGGTCCCATGAAAATAAAGTTATCATCAGTGTTGTTAGTTTTTAGGATATCTATGATCTCGTGCACACCAAAACAGTGACAAAATTCACGTTTAGAAGATATAAGCCTGATATAAACATGTAAAGGTTGCAGTTTGTCACTTTCTCCTAAATGAATCAACGTTTTATTCACGTCACCTCTTCAGTTTCTCATCAAATCTTCTGACCAATCAAATGCTCCCTAGTATCTGACATGCCCCGCCCCCTTCAAGACTCTTTTCATTTGGTGCGCTTGAGCTCAACCACTCTCACTGGCAGAGCACTGATAAAACAAAAGCCTATTGGCTGTTTTTTTTTAAAGGGGAGGAGCTACATGGTCCACCCTCTCTTCGTGTTTCAGTTGAGATTACATCAAACATCCAATAAAAACAACCCAGGCTCATTCTGTAAATGTGTCTCTATATATGTTTCTGGAGGCCGCGAAATACATCCCGAGTACGTATTTTTGCAGTTTTTGTTTTTGCGAATCCATGCGAGGCTGCTGTGTATGTTTTTTTCATATCTTAAATTTCTCTTGCGAGTGCGATTCACGCCTGCTGTTCTCGCATAAACGCATCAGAGGCCACTGTTGACTGACTGTTTGACTTACTGACTGACTGACCGACCAATCGACTGACCCACCCTCCCCCTTGCCTGTTGTTCTCGCATAAACCCACCAGAGGCCGTTGTTGACAGACTGACCGACCAACCAATCGACTTAGCCACCCTCCCCCTTCCCTAACCCCAACCAATTTTATCAATTGACCCGCCCACCCACTTCCCTAAACCCAGCCAACGATTTTTTTAAAGCAATTCAGAAAAAGAAAAGCACACGTCTGATTTTTACCATGTTTTTAGATTTTACCTTGTTCTCACCCTGTTATTTACTTGTTTATTTTATTTTTTAGATACTGTTTTTGTTTTACCTGCTTTCTGGAACCGTTCTTTACCAGCGTCGTGGTCAACTCCTCTCTGCATCTCAAGTCCGCCGACGTACGTGACGAACTAACTGGACAAACTGGTTGCAGCGGGAACGTCGTCAACACGTAGGTAAGCAGTCAGCTGGTAAGTGCGAAAAGGAACGGCATCATACCACCCCCTAGTGCTCGCTTAAAAAATAAAATGCAGCCATACGTGCTTCTGGCTACATATTTTGCGGTCTCCAGAAACGTACATAGGACTATGTTTTCAGAATGAGCCTGTGTTGAATAAAAATGCATATTTCAAATCACTTCACGAGACCTTTAATATTCTCTATTTAATATTCGGGACCTTTAATATTCTCTACTCCAATTATTTAACTAATAAATACATATAAATACACTCTAAGAAATGCTGGGTTATTGAAACCCAAATTGGGTAAAATATGGACTTAGCTAAACATTGAGGTAAATTTTATACATCACTACATATTATTTGCACAGTAAATTGGGTAAACGGTCATAAATATATGTAAATAAGTATGACTAAAACATACAAGTTAAAAGTTTTTATAATGTGTTTACTTAAGTTTTTCAAATCTTGACTATTATTTTCTAGACCGCCCACATAGCAAAATTTCTCTGGCCCAGATCTGGCCCACACAATCAGGTTTTGCTTGGCCCACATGCCGCAGTGAATTACGGTACATGACTGGACCAAATCTGGCTTCCAGAAAAGGGCCAAACATGGACCATATCTGGGCCAAGTCTCAGCCAAGTTAATAACTCATAACTGGGTCAGATAGGTTGGTGTGTCACGATTGCAATGAAATTGATAACCCCATAAAGCAGGGGTCACCAAACTTGTTCCTTGAGGGCCGGTGTCCTTCAGATTTTTGCTTCAACCCTAATCAAACACAGCTGAACAAGCTAATCAAGGTCTTATAGGTACTGTATACTTGAAACACCCAGGGAGGTGTGTTTAGGCAAGTTGGAGCTAAACCCTGCAGGGACACCGGACCTCCAGGACCGAGATTGGTGACCCCTGCCATAAAGCATTGCGCTTTAGGCACACTATGGGCACGCTTTTTCTCAAAGTGACCTGATTGTTAGAATTTTTTTCTTTACTAAAAACCTATTTGAATGTATTTTTAATGTGGGTCATGTCTGGCCAAACTCACGCGGCCCACATATCAATTTTTAAAATCTGGGCAAAATCTTGTGTGCCGCCTTAAAGACAATGCCACCCCTGCCAAACCCGGGCCATGTTTGGCCCACATGCTGTATGCCAGTGCCGGATGAATGACAGCTTTATGCCAAATCTGGGCCAGAATTCTTTGCTACTATCTAGACTGTTCCCTTAGTCTTTCTCTATTACATTTCCCTTGATGTTGACATGCAGTTCAACTTCCTACTTATTTTATTTGTTATTTTTCTATATGAATTAAAAGCCTTTGTGGAGTTTGCATGTTCTCCTTGTATTGGCGTGGGTTTCCTCTGGGTGCTCCAGTTTCCCCCACAGTCCAAACACATGCGCTATAGGGGAATTAATGAACTAAACTGGCCGTAGTGTATGAGTGTGTATGGGTGTTTTCTAGTGATGGGTTGCAGCTGGAAGGGCATCCGCTGTGTAAAACATGTGCTGAATAAGTTGGCTGTTCATTCCTCTGTGGTGACCCCTGATTAATAAAGAGACTAAGCCGAAAAGAAATGAATAAATGAACAGCAAAAAACTTTTGGGGGAAAACTTAGTTGTTATATGTTCAATCTACT